GGCTTCCGGTTGGCCGCAGGAAGCTCCAGCAGCCAATCGGAAGCCGTGGCAGTCGCGATGGAGATTCAGGTTCCAAAGAATGTTCGCAAACTGGAGCCAAAACGTTTGACTCGCAAGGCATTTGACTTCCGAGGTAGGACTGCATTGCTGAGCAAATTGCATTTCTGATATTGAAGCTGAAGAATTGAATGCTTTATGTCTCACTGTATTGCACAAATCAGGAATCCTGTTTATATGCAGTTACGTTATGTCGTCATGATGACTGTGTAGCCTTGAAAGTGACTATATATGAACTTTGGGATGATGATTACAGAGCAGTCTTCTGTAACTGAAAGGGAAACACCAGGGCATTGTAAATAATGACTTGCACCAAACAACATAATCGATTTATGGTAGAGGTGGTAGCTCTATGAAGGGCCTCTTAACAACTCTCAGCATCCTCAACAAACCACATTTCCAAGATACTGGGGGGGTGGAGTATGTTTGTTAAAGTGGTATATAAGAGTGTTTTAAATGTGGATGTGGCCTAAGAGTTCATAGGACCTAACTAAGTTCTACCAGTATTATGGTGGCCCATGTCAGGACCATAGAAGTGCCTTGTCAAAATAAAGTCCGATTGTGGTCTTCGTTATGATTCGTTAATGTCTGCAGTTGTGGTCTCATGAGATAGAAGCCCGCCCCGTTTCATTTGCAACTAGCTTATTCTCTTGTTTCTCCCCAAAGGAAGAAGAGAGAAAGGGAGGGAGGCATAAATGTAATTGCTACTCTCAATTCTGCTCTACTGGAGAAAAGTAATTAAAATCCTAGCTGCTGACTGTTCCCCTTGGGACTGAATTTTTACTGGAAATGAAAAGGAAAGGTGGTTCGACAGTGGAAACATTTGCCAGCTGCAGGTATAATACTGTGTCTGTTGTCAGAGAGAACATTTCATTGGTCTATTTCTGGAGGATTATTTAGAGGGCTGTGGTCTTACATCCAGGCCTCAAGGAGAAGAAGAAAATACAGCCGATGAGGTGTGCCTCCTCACTGCAGAATAGTGATTTGTTATGTGTTTGTCTGAGTTAAATATAGCAGCCAGTCATTTTGCACGCTCTGATATTTTATCCCATACACTCAGAAGAAGAAGAAAAAAAACGTTCTTGTTTGGATAGATGAAAATGGCTATAGAAAAAACCCACAGCTCATGAGTCTAACTGGCAGACAATTTGGGGCACTTGACATTCTAAAATTTGCCAATCAATCAATAGGTAACTCAATCGGGTTGGGCAGCTCCAATGATATCATTTTGATTTTCACTTGTGATCGCTGGCTTGGTGGTGATTATGTTTGCTGCCGCAAAGAACTTTCCTTTCAGAGATCAATTTATGCCAGATTTAGGTCTCGTTCAGTCTTTTCACCGCTCCCCCTTGAAAATAAAATATATTGACCTCTTGGGAAGGATTAAAATCCTCCTTGCGTGGTGAATGGTTCACTGAACATAATCTAAGCGTCTTACCTTTACTTGATGGATTTGGGAGGGAGGGAGGAGGAGGAGGAGGAGGAGGAGGAGGAAAACTTATGTTCTCGCTTTCTTGTTTGCTCATTTGCAGCCTGTTCAAACTAGGTCAGCCCTACATTACTTTCTGCCTAAAGCAGTTGCCAGGTATCAGGGATTTGAGACTTCAGTGCGCTTCACTTTCCTAGGAAGTGGGTAGTGCTTCTGTTGGCAGGGAAATATCCCAGTAAGTGTTCCCAAATGGTGACGATGGAATCTACAAGTAGGTAGCAGAAAGCAGAAAAGGGATGAGTGTTGCGGACAGTACAGCATGACAGACCATGTTGAGGTCGTAAAAATATGGACTACTGCCTACTCATTAGAATGCTGAAAAGATATGTTGCTCCTGTTATAATGAGTCATCCATTATGTGCACAGAATAGTTGTGATTCTCTGCAAGGCACAATGTGCCCTTTATTCTGAGAGGTACTAGAGGAAAAAGGTTTATCTGTTGTCATGAAAGGAGTCATGGTTTGGGGACAAAGCAAAGTTCTTGACTTTGAACATGTAATGTTCTCTATGGCAGCTGTACCCTCTAGCTGTTTTTGGACTACAATTCCCATCACCCCTGACCACTGGGGATGATGGGAGTTGTAGTCCAAAAACAGCTGGAGACCCAAGTTTGGAAAAACCCTGCTCTATAGGAAATAACGCTGTAAGATTGCTCAGCCCTTATTCTTCACAACTGGAACTGTCTAGTGGTAGATATGAAGTACCGGACACATTATATACCAGATTTCATTGACCAGTGGAACTGTTGGAATGTTTTGCTGGGGGAAAACCTTTACTGGGACTTTCACCAAATATGAAAGGAGTCTGGGGATCTCTGTTGCATTGTCACAATATAAAATTGTGAGATCCTATCTGTGCCACAGATTTCATTGCAGGCAGAAATTGCAATGGTCTGCTTGTTGTGATTGAGAGGAAATGTAATCATCTCTACTGGTGTAATGTGCTATTTGTTTTAAGCAGTCAATCATTATGTAATAATCTGTTAGTGAAATATTGCATTATTTATTGAAGTAGTCAATCATATGAAGGCAAGTCTATGGCTTGTTTGAAATCTTCGATTGCACTATACCTATCGGGAGTAGTTATCTGAATACACCTTGTGTCATCTAATCCCCACATTTTTTTGATGCCCCCAAGTCATTGAATGAATGAAGGAACGAATGAGAGAGACCACATATTACCAGACTAGCTCCTTAAACACTGGCAGTGGCTGGGATTATAATTGCCTTGCTGTGCTTTGAGTATATTAACCCTATAGGGGGAAGGTATTGCACAATTCTAGCATTCAAGGCCACACAGTAACTTCATTCATCACTGCCTTATTGGCGTTGAATCCATTAAATTGCCACCAACTTGTGGTTTGTGTTTCGGTGCCGATAGGGTTAAGGAGTCAGGTGGACACTATGCTCTCTTGTTTTCTGGGGTGGGGGGGCATGGGGAAGAGTCTTCTAAATGTTTTCTCTTGAGCTTGAACATGCCTTCTGTTCCGAATGCCTGCTAATAACCCTGGGTGTAGGCAGCATCAATCATGGTCGCCACTACAAGCATCACGAGGAAATTCTAGCTCAGTCCCGGTATCTCTGAAAGACATCCAGCACAGATATTTATTTTTCCTCAACAAGGTTTCATTTGGCTGTGGTCCAGACTTAGCCTCCTCCCACCCGCCTCTCCCCTGCACTCCTTGAGGTTTCCTGGATCTGACACAGCAAAGTTCTCTACTCTGTGGAGATGGAACTGCTTGTCATTCATTGCACATCGCTCTGAAAGCGACACCTGTGAGAATTGTGGGATCTGCTTCTCTGGATATTTTCCACAAGGAAGATTGAGGAACAAGTGCGGGTGGTAGCCTAACAATGAGCAAACATGCAGTGAGTTAGGTCAGGATCCTCCAGCTCTCCTAAATGTTTCATGGAATCTGGGCTTCATTACACCAGTGAAGGACTAGATGTTACTCTCGCCTCATTTCAAACAAAGAAGCTGACTAGACTACCAATAGACTCTTACTTCAACACTAGCGGTGGAGCAATTCTCTCCAATTCATCTGAGGGCAGCAGCCTCAGCCCAGTATACCTGAAGGAGCATCTCCACCCCCATCCTTCAGCCCGCACACTGGGGTCCAGCTCCGAGGGCCTTCTGGTGATTCCCTCACTGCAAGAAATGAGGTTACAGGGAACCAGGCAGAGGGCCTTCTTGGTAGTGGTGCCCACCCTGTGGAACACCCTCCCAACAGATGTCAAGGAAATAAACAACTATCTGACTTTTAGAAGACACCTGAAGGCAGCCCTATTTAGGGAAGTTCTTTAATGTTTGATGTTTTACCGGGTTTTTAATATTCTGTTGGGAGCTGCCCAAAGTGGCTGGGGAAACCCAGCCAGATGGGTGGGGTATGTATAAGTAAATAAATAAAATTAAGTGGACGGTCAGGTTGCGAACGTGATCCGTACAGGAGGCATGTTCGCAACCCTCAGCGTTCACAACCCGCAGCGCTGCATCTGCACACTCGTGGGTCACGATTTGGTGCTTCTGTGCATGTGCAAAGCACGATTTAGCGCTTCTACGCATGTGTGAGTGCCGAAACCCGGAAGTAACCCATTCTGGTACTTCCAGGTTCAGCAAAGTGCGCAACCCGAAAACGCGCAACCTGAAGCGCCTGTAAACCAAGGTATGACTGTACAGCTCTACCGGTTCAGACTGGTTGGAACCGGTTGAAGCCAGTTGGAACCGGTCCCAGCTGCTTGGAACCGGCCTAGACTGGTTGGAACTGGTTCAGACTGGTTTGAACTGGTTGAAGCCAGCTGGAACCGGTCCAGACCGGTTTGAACCAGTCCAAGCCGGTTTGAACCGGTTGAAGCCGGTTTGAACCAGTCCAAGCAGGTTGGAGCCGGTCTAGACTAGTTAGATACGGTCCAGATGGTCTGAACCGGTCCAAGCTGTTTGGTATCGGTCCAAGCCAGTTTCAACCGGTCCAAGCAGGTTGGAGCCGGTCTAGACTAGTTGGAACTTTTCCAGACCAGTTTGAACCGGTCGAACCCGGATTCAACCGGTCTACATTGGTTGGAACTGGTCGAAGCTGGTTGGAACCGGTCTAGACCGGTTGGAACCGATTGAAGCCGGTTTGAAGCTGTCCAAGCTGGTTGGAACCGGTCTAGACCGGTCTAGACCAGTTCAGACTGGTTGGAACCGGTTGAAGCTGGTTGGAACCGGTCTAGACCGGTTGCAACCGGTTGAAGCCGGTTTGAAGCTGTCCAAGCTGATTGGAACTGGTCTAGACCGGTTGGAACTGGTTCAGACTGGTTGGTAATGGTTCAGACAGGTTGGAACTGGTTCAGACAGGTTGGAACCGGTTGAAGCCTGTTTGAAGCAGTCCAAGCTGGCTTGAACCAGGCTAGACTGGTTGGAACAGGTTCAGACCGGTTGGAACCAGTTGAAACTGGTTGGAACTGGTCTAGACCGGATGGAACAGGTTCAGACCGGTTGGAACCGGTCCAAGCTGGTTGGAACCGGTCTAGACTGGTTGGAACCGGTTGAAGCCGGTTTGAAGCTGTCCAAGCTGATTGGAACCGGTCTAGACCGGTTGGAACTGGTTGAAGCCGGTTGGAACCAGTCCAAGCTGGATGGTACCGGTATAGATCGGTTGGAACCGGTCCAAGCTGGTTGGAATCAGTCTAGACCGGTTGGAACCTATTCAGACCAGTTGGAACCGGTTGAAGCCGGTTTGAAGCTGTCTAATCTGGTGGGAACCGGTCTAGACCGGTTCGAACCTGTTGAAGCCAGTTGGAACTGGTCCAAGCTAGCTGGAACTGGTCTAGACCGGTTGGAACTGGTCCAAGCTGGTTGGAACCGGTCTAGACTGGTTGGAATCGGTTGAAGCCGGTTTGAAGCTGTCCAAGCTGACTGGAACCGGTCTAGACCGGCTGGAAGTGGTTCAGACCGGTTGGAACTTGTTCAGACTGGTTGGAACTGGTTGAAGCCTGTTTGAAGAGGTCCAAGTTGGCTGGAACCGGGCTAGACTGGTTGAAACAGGTTGGAACCTGTTCAGATTGGTTGGCACCGGTTGAAGGCGGTTGGAAGCAGTCCAAACTGGCTGGAACTGGGCTAGACTGGTTGGAACCGGTTCAGACCAGTTGGAACCGGTTGAAGCTGGTTGGAACTGGTCTAGACAGGTTGGAACCGGTCCAAGCTGGTTGGAACCAGTCTAGACCGGTTGGAACCGGTTCAGATTGGTTGGAACCAGTTGAAGCCGGTTTGAAGCTGTCCAATCTGGTTGGAACTGGTCTAGAACAGTTGGAACCAGTTGAAGCCAGCTGGAACCGGTCCAAGCTGGCTGGAACCGGGCTAGACCGGTTGGCACAGGTTCAGACCGGTTGGAACCAGTTCATACCGGTTTGAACTGGTTCAGACCGGTTGGAACCGGTTGAAGCCAGTTGGAATCGTTCCAAGCTGGATGGAACCTGTTCAGACTGGTTGGAACTGGTTGAAGGCGGTTTGAAGCAGTTCAAACTGGCTGGAACTGGTCTAGACTGGTTGGAACAGGTTCAGACCAGTTGGAACCGGTTGAAGCTGGTTGGAACTGGTCTAGACCTGTTGGAACCGGTCCAAGCTGGTTGGAACTGGTCTAGACCGGTTGGAACCGGTTGAAGCCGGTTTGAAGCTGTCCAAGCTGGTTGGAACCGGTCTAGACCGGTTGGAACCGGTTGAAGCCTGTTTGAAGCGGTCCAAGTTGGCTGGAACCAGGCTAGACTGGTTGGAACAGGTTGGAACCTGTTCAGACTGGTTGGAACCAGTTGAAGACGGTTTGAAGCAGTCCAAACTGGCTGGAACTGGTCTAGACTGGTTGGAACAGATTCAGACCGGTTGGAACCAGTTGAAGCCGGTTTGAAGCTGTCCAAGCTGGTTGGAACCGGTCTAGACTGGTTGGAACTGGTTGAAGCCTGTTTGAAGTGGTCCAAGTTGGCTGGAATCGGGCTAGACTGGTTGGAACAGGTTCAGACCGGTTTGAACCTTTCTAGACCGGTTGGAACTGGTTCAGACTGGTTGGAACCGGTTGAGACTGGTTCTAACCGGTTGAAGCCGGTTTGAAGCGGTCCAGACCGGTTTGAACCAGTCCAAGCCGGTTTGAACCGGTTGAAGCTCGTTTAAAGCGGTGCAAACTAGTTGGAACCAGTCTAGACCGGTTGGAACCGGTTCAGACCTGTTGGAACCGGTTGAAGCCAGTTGGAACTGGTCCAAGCTGGCTGGAAACGGGCTCGACCGGTTGGCACAGGTTCAGACCGGTTGGAACCGGTTGAAGCCAGTTTGAAGCTGTCCAATCTGGTTGGAACCAGTCTAGACCGGTTGGAACCAGTCCAAGCTGGCTGGAACCGGGCTAGACCGGTTGGCACAGGTTCAGACCGGTTGGAACTGGTTCAAACCGCTTTGAACCGGTCTAGACCGGTTGGAACTGGTTCAGACCGGTTAGAACCGGTGGAAGCCAGTTGGAACCGGTCCAAGCTGGATGGAACTGGTCTAGACTGGTTGGAATCGGTCCAAGCTGGTTGGAACCAGTATAAACCGGTTGGAACCGGTTCAGACCGGTTGCAACCGGTTGAAGCTCGTTTAAAGCGGTGCAATCTGTTTGGAACCAGTCTAAAGCAGTTGGAACCTGTTGAAGCCAGTTGGAACCGGTCCAAGCTGGCTGGAACCGCTCTAGGCTGGTTGGAACTGGTTCAGACTGGTTGGAACCGGTTGAGACTCGTTGGAACCAGTTGAAGCCAGTTGGAACCGGTCCAGACCGGTTGGAACCGCTTGAAGCCAGTTGGAACCGGTCCAAGTTGGCTGGAACCAGACTAGACCGGTTGGAACCGGTTCAGACCGGTTGGAACCGGTTGAAGCCGGTTGGAACCAGTCCAAGCTGGTTGGAACTGGTCTAGTCTGGTTGGAACCAGTTCAGACCGGTTTGAACTGGTCGAAGCCAGTTGGAACCAGTCCGCACTGGTTTGAACCAGTCCAAGCCGATTTGAACCGGTCGAAGCTGGTTTGGGCGTTCCAAGCAGGTTAGAACTGGTCTAGACCGGTTGGAACTGGTTCAGACCGATTTGAACTGGTCGAAGCCAGTTGGAACCGTTCTGGACTGGTTTGAACCAGTCCAAGCCGGTTTGAACTGGTCGAAGCTGGTTTGGGCGTTCGAAGCAGGTTAGAGCCAGTCTAGACTAGTTGGAACCAGTCCAGACGGTCTGAACTGGTCGAAGCTGTTTGGTACCAGTCCAAGAAGGTTGGAACAGGTCCAAGCAGGTTGGAACAGGTCTTGACTAGTTGGAACTGGTCCAGACCGGTTTGAACCTGTCGAACCCGGATTCAACGGGTCGAAGCCAGTTTGAACTGGTCCAAGCTGGTTGTAACTGGTCTAGACTGGTTGGAACTGGTTCAGACTGGTTTGAACCAGTCGAAGCCGGTTTGAACCGGTCCAAGCTGATTGGAACCAGTCTAGACCGGTTCAAACCGGTCCAAGCTGGTTGGAACCGATCTAGACCGGTTGGAACCGGTTCAAGCTGGTTGGAACCGGTCTAGACCAGTTGGAACGGGTCCAAGCTGGTTGGAACAGGTTCAGACCCGTTGGAGCTGGTCTGAGCCGTTTGGAATCGGTTCAGATCGGTGGGAGCTGGTCTGAGCCAGTTGGAACCAGTTCAGACCAGTTGGAGCTTGTTTGAGCCAGTTGGAACTGGTTCGGACTGGTTGGAGCTGTTCTGAGCAAGTTGGAACCAGTTCAGACCGGTTGGAACTGGTCTGAGCCAGTTGTGACTTTTCCAAGCCGGTTGGAACTGGTCCAAGCCAGTTGGAACCGGTTCAGACCGGCTGAAACCAGCCCAGACCGGTTGGAAAGGGTCCAGGTCAGTTGGAACTGGTTCAGACCGGTTGGAACTGGCACAGACCAGTTGGAACCGGTTCAGACTGATTGGAACTGGCCCAGAGCAGTTGGAATAGGTCCAGGCCGATTGGAACAGGTCCAAGCCAGTTAGAAAAGGTCCAGGACGGTTGGAGCAGGTCCAAGGTGGTTGAAACAGGTCCAGGCTGATTGGAACCAATTCTGATCAATTGGAACCAGGTCAGATCGCTTTGAACAGATTGGAACAGGTCTAGGGCAGTTTGGAACCAGCTCAGACTGGTTGGAACAGGTCTAGGTTGGTTGGAACCAGCCCAGACTGGAGGGAACAGGTCCAAGCTTGTTGGAACTGGTCCAGACCAGTTAGAACAGGTCCCAGCGGAACTGGCCCAGACCAGTTTTAACAGATGCAGGCCGGCTGGAACCAGTTTAAGCCGGTTGTAACACTTACACTTCAAACCCCACTGTGGTCTTCGCATATGGGAAATAACTTTTATATAGACTAGAAGCGGTTTCCAGTCTTTAAAAGATTCTAAAGTTTGTATCTGTTATCAGTGCCATCTCTGCATATTCCAAGATTTTCATCAGCCATTCTTCCTTTGAGAGTGTTCTCTACTTCCAATATCTTCATTTTTAAAAAATAATAAATCATGGCAGCCATTTAATTATGAAGCATTTGAGCTTCAATCCAATAAAGAATTACCAAGGAGTAAGCCCAATTGCAATCAGTGGCATTTAGTTCTAAGTAGACAGTCAGAGGATTGTACTTGGCTCTGTGGTCTAAACCACTGAGCCTAGGGCTTGCCGATCAGAAGGTCGGCGGTTTGAATCCCCGCAATGGGGTGAGCTCCCGTTGCTCTGTCCCAGCTCCTGCTAGTTCGAAAGCATGTCAAAGTGCAAGTAGATAAATAGGTACAGCTCTGGCGGGAAAGTAAATGGCGTTTCCGTGAGCTGCTCTGGTTTCGCCAGAAGCGGCTTAGTCATGCTGGCCACATGACCCAGAAGAACTGTCTGCTGACAAACATTGGCTCCCTTGGCCAGTAAAGCGAGATGAGCGTCACAATCCCAGAGTCGTTCATGACTGGACTTAACTGTCAGGGGTCCTTTACCTTTACCTTTTTAGACAGTCAGAGGATTGTACTGCTAGTTGTCTTCTGTGAACCGACTTGAGACCTCCCGGTATAGGGCAGTATATAAATTCAAAGAAGAAGAATTTGAAATTTGAAATACTTTATTGTCACTTGTACAACTTGTATACAGTGAGATTACACGAGCACCCCCCACTCAGCTATCTTAGTCTTAATTCCCCTCGTTTACTGACGCACACCCACCAAAGCCGACAGTCAGTTGTCCTGTTGTTATCTTTTCATTCAGCAGCCTAACAGCCCATGGATAGAAGCTGTTCTTTACCCTATTGGTGAGACTAATCATGCTTCTATATCTTCTGCCTGAGGGCAGGAGATCAAGAAAGTGCTGGCCAGGGTGTGAATCATCCCTGAGAATTTTCCTCACTCTCCTGAGGCAACGTTCTTCCGCTATTTCATCCGGCAGATTCACGGGACATCCCATAATACCTTGTGCTGTATTCACCACCCTCTGTAGGCGCTTCCTATCAGATGATGTCAAACCAGAGTCCAACACCATGATGCAGTATGAAAGGACACTTTCTATTGTGGACCAGTAGAAGGAGATAATGAAATGTTGATTGACATCATTCTTCCGCAATACTCTGAGGAGATGGAGTCTCTGTTGGGCTTTCTTATCCACCTGGGAAGAAGAAGAAGAAGAAGAAGAAGAAGAAGAAGAAGAAGAAGAAGAAGAAGAAGAAGAAGAAGCAGCAGCAGCAGCAGCAGCAGCAGCAACAGTGGCAGCTTGGGGTGGTGAGAGAACGAATATCTAGCAAAAATAATATAACTCTTGAACAAAGCTTCATTCAGAGTGAGTTCCTAAAACCTGCCAATGAAATACTTCATCCGTGGTGTCTCCTTTTGCCAATCATATACAGGAATCCACAAAGTTGAGGCTGCCTCCGCCGGCTTTCTGTCCGTTCATCTCAAGATCTCAGTCAGAATCCCATCCTTTCTCCTTAACAGTGAAACTGATGAGAGAAGAAGGCACTGACAACCAAGCCTTAATCAGCTGAACCAACATTACAGCCATGGCTGCTCTTGCCAGAGGAATCAACCTTGGTGGCATCATTCACAGGTCTTTTGTTAGGCTGCTGTCACCAGCTATGAGGTAGTGCTAACTCTGAAGTCAGATTTTAAACACTTGTTGGCTGGAAAAGGCAACATGTGTAATCCATATTGCTGAGATATCCACGGGATGAGTCAACTTCTTTCATTAGAATGAACGTGTACTTCATGCAAATGGGAACTGTTGGGCTTCCAAGCATTTTATTTTTCTTCCCAAGCAGCATGAGTTAATTTTTCCCCCATGGCTCGCTCTTTCCTCATTTAAATTCTCATCGACTGCATGTGAACGTCAGATATATGCATTTTATTTCATTTTAGACTGTTCTTTCCAATGCAGAAGTGTCTTGTACATAGGCCACATTTACCACGAACTAGAGAGCAAATATATTAGCATGAATTCAAATATTTAGCTTCTGAGATGCAAGATGTAATTACATTTCCTTGATTGCACTTACACCCGGGAAGGAACCCATACTTAAGCAGGAAAAAATAGTACTCAGAGGTGTTTTCATGGCTCGGAAAGAGAGTAACTTACTTTCTATAAATAAAATTAACTCTATTCCCTTAAAATACATCCACATTTTTATATATATTCAACCTCGGATCCTATAATTACAAGCAACCACTGCAAAGAAGCATGTCATTAAATTAATACTTTGAGGTTCATAGAGCTCATTTTCCGCCAGGGACGTACAAAACTATTGAGGAGAAAAGGACCCAAAAAAGATCTGGCTTCTTTTGATCTTTGGTGTTTTCCACCTTCAGATTTGTATTTACATGTAAACATTTTTAACCTCTTTCCCCACATTGAGGAAAACCCAAACTGGGAATGGAATATTAATTTGCTTGGAGGGATTGCTTTTCCCACACACCCCACCCCTCCCCTGAAGATGCTGTTTGGAACAAAGAGATCTCAATTATAAATAAAAATGATGCCACAGGCCAGGTAACTGATGGGTATGATTGGGTAGCATGTTGTTGAAGAAATCACTGTTAAAGCCACGATTAGCAATGGGGGCCCTGGGTGAGTCATTCCGTCCAACTCCTCCATCTGCTACTGAACTGAACTCATCACAGGAACAACTAAGACAACTATAATTGTAAGGCATTTAGAGCATCTATATAAATAAGCGAAGATAAAAAAACGAAGATCATGGCCACTGGTCCCATCACCTTCTGGTAAATAGAAGGGGAAGAAATGGAGGCAGTGAGAGATTTTACTTTCTTGGGCTCCATGATCACTGCAGATGGTGACAGCAGCCACGAAATTAAAAGATGCCTGCTTCTTGGGAGAAAAGCAATGACAAACCTAGACAGCATCTTAAAAAGCAGAGACATCACCTTGCCAACAAAGGTCCGTATAGTTAAAGCTATGGTTTTCCCAGTCGTGATGTATGGAAGTGAGAGCTGGACCATAAAGAAGGCTGATCGCCGAAGAATTGATGCTTTTGAATTATGGTGCTGGAGGAGACTCTTGAGAGTCCCATGGACTGCAAGAAGATCAAACCTATCCATTCTTAAGGAAATCAACCCTGAGTGCTACTGGAAGGACAGATCCTGAAGCTGAGGCTCCAATACTTTGGCCACCTCGTGAGAAGAGAAGACTCCCTGGAAGACCCTGATGTTGGGAAAGATGGAGGGCACAAGGAGAAGGGGATGACAGAGGACAAGATGGTTGGACAGTGTTCTCGAAGCTACCAGCATGAGTTTGACCAAACTGCGGGAGGCAGTGGAAGACAGGAGTGCCTGGCGTGCTCTAGTCCATGGGGTCACGAAGAGTCGGACACGACTAAACAACAACATATAAATAAGCATGTGCTATGGTAGGCACTTCATCTATGCTAGGATTTTCCAAACTGTGGTCAATGGACCAGTGGTCCACAGGCTTCCTTCAGATAGTCCATGGCATATCTTTGAAAAACACTTAGAATCTGAATTCTCCAGAGTTCTCTGGACTTCCAATTGTAATACAATGCAATGCATACAATGTAAGAAATGCAAGACCTAATAAAAAATGCCATTAGTAACCATACAGCTTATAGCACAACAGAAAGAAAAAATCATTAACAGGTATGAGAAAACATACAGTACAGACTCAGGGATTGCCCCTTGGGGTTTTTTTTAATGTTTCTCCTGATGAAGAGTTTGGGGAAAACTCACAATCTTGCACACCATTTTGCGGCATTTTGGTTTGCCTAACAAATGTATTACGCTAATAGGGACAATATGTAATGGGCCACTTTCTTTCTAGCTGCATTCTGAAGCATTTGGTTTCAGGGCAAACTAATGCTGAAGCCGTTTCCATCATACTGAGGGGGTTTGTCTGTCTTCACCCTATTCTATCTCTTTAGCTTGCTGTATGATTGAGGAATCTACTGGCATATGGCTCTCCGATGGCTCCCTCCATGTCATTGGTGGGCCCAGCTCCTTTTGGACTAAACTCGGCTGCGATCGTAACGCACAGAGTGACAGTTGAGATTTACTCATTATCAATTGTGTCCCATAGGGATTGAGGAATCTATTTTCTCACCCTTGCCACTTCTGTATGCCTTTACCCAGGGGTCGTCAACCTAAGGCCCATGGGCCACAAGCGCAGAGCAGAGCGAGGACCGCTGGCTTCCCATTGGCTGCAGGAAGCTTCTGCAGCCAATGGGAAGTTACGCATGCCTCCTCTGTGCTGGAAGGAGTGACGGAAATAGCGTTTACGCACTACCGCGGCGTCTGTGGGACCGTGAACCGGCCCAAGCCACAAAAACTTTGCTGACTTCTGCATTTACCCACAATTCTCTTCCATTCCACTTCTGCAGAAATCTGTCCGTGTGACGTGAAATAAAGATGAACATTTCTTCAAAAGAGGAAATTGTATTTTCTTGCAATTTGCTCGCAACTGTTTTTAACCACTTTATTTCGTAAGCTGGTCTGCTGAAACAGGGAAGTTGCAGTGGGGAGGGGGAGAGAAGCAAAGGTTTGTTTTGCTTGTTTGTTTGTTTTGGAAGGAAAGAACTGGACTCAACTCTTGAAAACCCTGGGCTAAGCATAAACTTAGAGGTAACTTTCTTCTCAATTCTGAGTTATGTTGCAGGGGACTACAATGATTTAGTGACTGGGGCACGCAGAACAATCTGTGGCCACACTCCGACTGTGGAATGCCTTTCCCCAAAGCTTAACTGGCCCTGGTGCTTTCGGTGCTTTGGCGCCAGGCAAATACCTATTTGTGTGGCATTTATGTGATGGTTAGGCCGCCACTGGAATTTTGGAGCCCCTTGGCTATTTTTACGACCGGACATTTTGATACTGCATTATTTTTATCTGCCCTCAACTGCTTGCAATGTTTTGGAATTTATTTAAAGACTTTGTATCTCACTCTTCATTAACAACAACAACAAAAAAGACTCCCTGAGCAACTTACATATCACTAATGATTTGTTGGTTTAATTATATCATAACCCACCCTGGGATTATTTGATTAAGGGTGGACTTAAAAATATTCTAAATACATATTCTAAACCCTGTGGGTAGTTCATTTGGTGGAGCATGAGACACTTGGTCTCTGATCTCAGAGTTTAGATCTCAGGGTTGTGGGTTCAAGCCCCACATTGAGTGAAAGATTCCTGCCTTGCAGGGGATTGGAATAGGTGACCCTCGTGGTCCCTTCCAACTCTACAATTCTATAATTCTATAATGATTAATAAGCAAACAACTGATGGTTGTTGGTTCCCCATCCCAGATCTAGAAGGAAGGGCACTGAGGAGACCCATGTATGCCTGGGCTATGTGGAGGAAGGACATAACAGAATAAACAGTTAATGCATGGGTAAGCAAACAAAGGCCCAGGGGCCAGATCTGGCCCAATCACCTTCTAAATCTGGCCCGCAGATGGTCTGGGAATCAGCGTGTTTTTACATGAGTAGAATGTGCCCTTTTATTTAAAATGCATCTCTGGGTTATTTGTGGGGCCTGCCTGGTGTTTTTACATGAGTGGAATGTGTGCTTTTATTTAAAATGCATCTCTGGGTTATTTGCGGGGCATAGGATTCGTTCATTTCCCCCCCAAAAAAATATATTCTGGCCCCCCACAATGTCTGAGGGACAGTGGACCGGCCCCCTGCTGGAAAAGTTTGCTGACCCCTGAGTTAATGCAATCAGTAAGTTCTGTAGTCTTCTATAAATTACCATACTTTTCTGTGTATAAGACAAGGTTTTTTTTTACTCTAAAATAATGTTAAAAATCGAGGGGTGTCTAATACACGGATAGTGCATATGTGGGACGGGCGATAGGTTGCAGCTGCGAGCAGGAACATGTCAGTGGCAATTGGGTGGGTGATTGGTGGCTGCTGCAAGGTCTGCTTAGGATTGGTGGCTGCTGGCGGAGAGCAGGCAGACACTTGTTTTGTTCTGTGATGCGTGCGATTGGCAGCGTCGGGTGAGTCATTTTCAGGGCATTGCCCTCCCAAAAAAACCTCAACAACTAGGGACAATCCTTCCCCAAAAAAGCTCAACAACTATGGGCCATCTCCCCCCATTTTATTAAATTGCAGTCCCCAAAAGTAGGGGGCGTCTTATACATGGGAGCGTGTTATACACAGAAAAATACGGTATGTCTGATGTAGCTCCCTCTCTGGTTTTGCGTAATCACCTCTCCTATTAAATGTAATTTCTAGGATGGTGTATACTAGTTTGGGTGCAATAGAGGTTGACCTGGAATTCTGGTGTGCCAAACGTGTTATTGTTATTTTTATATCACCTTTATGTGCAGATACCAAAATAGGTAATGAGGGGACAGGTAACAGGGAGTGACAAGTGTACCAGAGTAAGAGCATCAAATATGGGTGAATATCAAAAAGGGTACCCACTATGGAAATAAGAAAGCCATGCAACTCCTCTTAACATTTTGGTCCCCTTGTCAGCTGACATAAATCAGCCTAACTTAATCAACTTAGATGAATGATCACCCCTTGAATGCAACAGTGGACCTAGCCTGATGTCTTTCAGTCTGCTCAGAGTTAACTTTCATACAAAACCGACTGTGACAGCCCTGGAAAAATGCCTTGGTTCGTTTCAGCATTTTTTTTATTTTTTAAAGCATGCTACAACAATAATTGCACCTTATTAAAAATATGAAGGAGGTTCCAACTGTACATGTTTGGAGAACAGGCAGTCTGCAACTGAGCAAGGATTCGGTGAAACTTTACCTCAAACTAATACATTTTGGCAACTTTTCCCCTTTTCCAACTATGCCCCTATGACTATTTCCTGAAGTTCAAATATCAGACTTCCTCCTTCATCATTTTTAATACTTTATAAATGGTGCGTGGCAGGTCATAGTGGCCCATGTCACAGCCAACTGATGGGAGCCTGACTTGAACCTCCACCCCCCCTCCCTTTTGATTGGTGACCTGTTTGCTGAGCTTTGCACACAGCTATATTTCCAGCTCACAAACACTTAGGCTAAAACAAGATGTGATGTGGCATGACCTGGCCCAGTTTACGCTGAAGTGCTACAAAACGAGGAAGGGGTGAGATGGAGATTTAAAGCACACACAGGAATGGGCAGGAGGTGGCATGCGAGCTGCGGTGGGGAACAAACCTTTTCCATACACACCTACTCCCCTCCCCCCATCCCTCTTTTTGCCATTTATCTCTTGGGGTGGAGGTAATGTAAATGGTTTTTAAAAAGAAGTTGGAAGGGGAAGACACAGACAGGAGAAGGACTCCGCTCTCGCTGTTCATGCTGTTTTTTACATCTTCCCCTCCTTCACCCCTGGTTTATTGAGAACACACAGGTAGGTAGGCCTCTTGTTGTCATACCAGTAATTCTAACTGGAACAGGATGGTATTGAAGGTGATCCATTACCCCAAACATTCTTAATAGATATCAGGGGACTGTTTTTAATACAATCTTGTTCTAGTGTCATATTGACAGTGGTTGGACAATCCTACTTGGCGTAATAAGCTGTGATATGAATGAATACTTTGCTTGTACACACAACCCTTTCATCTGAGCTAACAGACAAACATCTTCCATCACTAGTTTCCTGTTTCATTTGAACCAGTAAACTATGGTTCACAGTTTCATAACAAGCCACGGTGTTAAACCGTGGTGGGGCTAGACTAGGGTCCACATTCTTCTGAAGGAGAGTGCATGAAATGTGCTGGCAACTGCCTGATATGCTTATAGTACAGTGGTACCTCGGGTTACAGACGCTTTAGGTTACAGACGATTCAGGTTACAGACTCTGCTAACCCAGAAATAGTACCTCGGGTTAAGAACTTTGCTTCAGGATGAGCACAGAAATTGTGCAGTGGCAGCACAGCAGCAGCGGGAGGCCCCATTAGCTAAAGTGGTACCTCAGGTTAAGAACAGTTTCAGGTTAAGAATGGACCTCCAGAACGAATTAAGTTCTTAACCCAAGGTACCACTGTACATACACAGTTTTGCTACTTATATACATCAGCTTTATAGAGATATTAGAGTTGCTCAAGTTTGTGCGGCATTCATCCATAGGCATGGGGTTTGCCATTAATAAATATTTAACTAATGCCCTCAACACTTAGGGGCTGTTGTGCCTTTGGCATTGATGGTCCGTCGTTTACCATCGTTGGCATGAGAGTTGTGTATGTTCTTTTGAGCTGAATGATGCTGAAGACGTTTAACTTGTAGAAATAAATTGCTTGGGGCTCTATCAAAACATTGAGAACATGTGGGTTTTGAACTCTGTTTTCAAATAGCTACCAGCTGCTTTTGCTTCTTTTTTTGCCACCTAGGGCACTTACAGGCTGATTCCACTCACAGTAGGAGATGCTACCAACCTTTGGAGCCAGCAGTATGGATAACAGGAAATGCAAGACTCAGCTTTTCTGCACTGTGAGAGAATCATAGCTCCCATCTAGGCCTTTTTATGTGGCATCTATCAGGCCACCTCTGGAGAAACAGCAATGGTGGTTGTCTTCCCTCTCTCCAGCAGAACTGGGTAAACTCCTTCTAGTTAGATTTGCACTTAGGTTCAGAAAATACCTCTGTTCTTTTGAACCTAATTTTGGACCCTGTTGTGCACATAGCAGTGTCATTGGGAACATGACAAAATCCGATACTCCCCCCACCCCAGCTCAAAAGTCCAGCAGCCTCTCACCTGGCCACTTACCTGCTTGCCTTCCCCCAGCTGCTTTCCTTTGGCACTGATATTAATTTGGCCACCTCATGAGAAGAGAAGTCTCCCTGGAAAAGACCCTGATGGAGGGCACAAGGAGAAGGGGACAACAGAGGACGAGATGGTTGGACAGTGTTCTCGAAGCTACTAGCATGAGTTTGACCAAACTGCGGGAGGCAGTGGAAGACAGGAGTGCCTGGCGTGCTCTGGTCCATGGGGTCATGAAGAGTCGGACACGACTAAACAACTAAACAACAATGGCAGCAGTGCCAAAAGAAGGGGAAGGGATGGAGGGATCTCTCTTTCTTCTCTCTGTGCTTAAGCTTAGCACCCTGCTATGGCTGTGTGTGCCAGGGGCAAGGAGTATTGGGTCATTTCCCTCTCCTGCACACCAGTACTACTAAAAGGAGTCAGAAGTGTTGGAACTACATTTCCCATCTCACCTTGCATCTGGCCTGCAGTTATGGACGTTTCTGGGCATTAGGGAAAGAGGCAGATTCGTCCATCTGGTTCAGCATCTGGTTCTCACAGTGAGTGGCCAACCAGATGCGCATGGGAAGCCCACATACAAGATCTGAGCATAACAGTACAGTGGTACCTTGAGTTAAGAACTTAATTCATTCTAGAGGTCCATTCTTAACCTCAAACTGTTCTTAACCTGAGGTACCACTTTAGCTAATGGGGCCTCCCACTGTCGCTGTGCCGCCACCGCATGATTTCTATTCTCATCCTGAAGCAAAGTTCTTTTTTTTTTTTAGATTATATTTATTGGTTTTTTATAATTACATACTATACATACACATATTATTTTACATTTTACATTTTACATTTTACATTTTACATATTTTACATTTTACATTTTACATTTTATTTTACATTTATTCTTGCTCTCAAGAGCTGACTTCCCTCCTTCCTTCTTCCGGCTTTTTTGTGTCCTCTTTAACTTTTCGCATTGTCTTTATCCATTTTGTATATAGTTGTTCTTCTTCAATTTTTGTCCATGAAATGTCTGTAAACAAATAAATCTTTCTATATATACAATTCTTGTTGTCTGTCTATATTCATTTACAAATACTGTTCAACCATGGTCATAATATACATTTTTAATTCATTTTGATATTGTTGTCCAATAAATTTCTTTGTATTTTCCCGTTATGAGGTTTATTTCAGTTCTACCTGAAGCAAAGTTCTTAACTTGAGGTACTATTTGTGGTTTAGCATAGTCCGTAACCTGAAGCGTCTGTAACCTGAAGCGTCTGTAACCGGGGGACCACTGTACTCATATTAGGTGAGAGATGTGCTTTAAAATGCATGTATTACAGAAGATGGCTTGGAAAAGTGTATTAGGAACAATGTGCCTTAAAATGCTGGTGAATTTTCATGAAAACTAGAAGAAAAAAAAGGAAACAGATGCAGAAATGTGAAGATGGGAATGTAAGATTGGAAAAATGAAAAA